GAATACCAAAGAATACCTGATCAAGAAATATCACCTAGAAACAAGGAAGATCAAAGAAGCACTGGAAATAATAAAGCAGCAAATAACAGCCACAGCCCAAAAGATCAGCAGATATGAAGCTCAAATTGCACACTATAGACAGAATCTCCAATTTCAGCTGAATCAGAAACATTTCTACCAATTCATCAATGGAGAGATGGCAATGAACCACTGAACATCTGACAAAGGAATAGTGCAGTGCTGGGTGCAGCTACGGGACAACCCAAAGAAATACAAGAATGAAGCTTGGATAAAGGAGGTGGATAAGAATAGAAAAGAAATTTCTGAATTTCTGAATGAAAGAACTTGTAATAACAGCAGAAATGGTGGAGAAAAGGGCAAGGAAGATCAAGAATTGGTCAGCATCAATCTGCAAGAAATACCATTTGCCTGCAAGCAAGAACTGGTTGGACCACAAAAACAGACAAAGTAATAGAAAATGAAGAAGTTAAAGTGCTCTGGGACTTCAGAATTCAAACAGACAATCCCCTGCCACATAACACCCCAGACTTAACAACTGTTGAAAAGAAAGACAAAAAATCTGAATAGTGGACATTGCAATACCTGGAGATAGCAGAATAGAAGAGAAAAACTGGAGAAAATCACAAAGTACAAAGACCTACAAATAGAAATAGAATGACTGTGGCAAAAGAAAGCAAAGATAGTACCAACAGTATAAGGTGCCTTGGGTTTAAGTTCAAAACATTTGGAGTATCACTTGAAAACCACTGGCATTGACAAAAGGACTCAATACGTGGATAAAAATGCCAAATCCAGTCTAAACCTCTGGCTGACTGTGTGACCAACAATAATTTTATTAACTATATACCACCCAACTCCCAATGACTCTGGGCAGTTTACAAATTAAACATTTAAGAACAAGGAAGCAATACGAAACAAGAAAAAGCAAAGATGGCAGAGATGACAAACCCGGATGGGAATAAAGAAAAAGAAGAAAAGAGGGCTTCAATTACCCTCACCAAAGCCGGGGTGAAGAACCCTTCAAAACACCAGTACAGTGGGGGTTGTTAGAATCTTGGGGGAAATCTCATTCCAGAGGTCAGGTGCTGCTATAGAGAAGACATACTTCTGAGGTTCTGAGAGATGGCGTTGTGTAATCAAAGGAACCTGAACCCCACCAGCCCTGCTAAATCAGATCAGCTGGGCAGATACTGTGGGAGACATGTGAGCGTGGGAGCAACTGCATACTTTAAATCAATAAACCTTTATTGTGAGCTTTAAATTCAGAGGGTCTTCATGAATTCCAATAACATCTTGATTGCCTCAGTGGTTGGTTGAAGTGTTTTGTGAGTGTTTCCAATTTTTTTTCTCTGCTATTGTCCAGGACTATGGGATCTGTGTGCTTCGACAGCTTGTAGGATTGGAATGAGTAATAATAAGCTGAGCCTGAGTATTTTGTAATTTTCATTTTTATTCAG